TTGATTTACACGGCATCTCCCCGACTCCCTCACCGCAGGACCCTTCCCGGTGTTACCTGTTAACCTCCGGGGGAAACACTGTGCGTCAGAACTCACTTTGGGGCCTGGATTTCCTTCTCCTTTTTACTTTCACACTCAGTATGTGAGGCAGGAGGCCACCCAAAGGGGCCGTGGTGGGAAGAGGATAGAGAAAGAGGTTCCCCTGGGTCAGGCGGGGCCCGATGTGGAGCACCCCACCCCCACCCCCTGCAGACTGGGAGGACTTCCGCCTCTCTGGAAGCACGTAGTCCCTGTGTCCAGTACTGTCGGGCACTGCTGGGAAAATGTCCTTGGTGTTGTGGCATCTACTACTTTCAGTCTAGTAAAAACTCCCAGCAGTTACATGCTGCACGTTATTCAAGAGACTGTGGATGGATGGACGGATGGATGGATGGATGGATGGATAGATGAATAAAGCAAATGCAGCAAAATTTTACCAATTGGTCACTTTGGGTGAAGAGTATCCAGAGGTTAATTGTATAAGTCTTTTACTTCTTTTTTTTTTTTTAATTTTATTAACATATAATGTATTGTTTGTTTCGGGGTACCACTGTGGGAAGTCTTTTAGGTTAGTTTGAAATCATCTCAAAATAAAAAGTTTGAAAAAAGAGAGAGATACTGGAATTTGTCTGCATGTCTGAATTAGCCTCCTAGTGGTGAATGAAGGGAGAGGTCTGTCAAAGGTCTCTTTCATTTTAGAAAATGCAAAGGAACACAGTATGGCTCGTCTCCGTGTCATTCTCTGGGACCTTGGGCACAGTGGGAGAAGTGCTCCCTGTTGTTGCTTGGAAGCTGTGTGACCCGAGGTGAGAAGTCCAAACTCTCTGAACCTCGGTATGCTCAGTGGTGAGAGGAAGCAACACCTCCCCTCATCTCTCATAATTTGGGGGGGAGATTAAGTGAGATCATGAAAGGGTAGGTAATATGTAAATTGCAAAGAACACTATAAATAAGGTGGTAGGAAGACAAAGAACGAAAGAGCTTACCAAAAACAGGTCTCGGATAAAGAACTTAGCCCGGGTCACCTTGGGATCTTCTCCTGCATCTGGTGTTGCTGTGAAAATGACAAGTGGAATTCAGTTTAAATAGCATGAAACAAAGATCCAACTCTAGGGAAAATAGAGGAGGAACCACAAAGTTGGGCTGCAGCAGACTCATAGCACTAAAAGGCGCCTGCAGGAAGGCAAAAAGCTAAAATGTAACTTTATTCCTCTCCTTTAGCTCTGACAAAAGTTTTGTTTTTGGTGGTAGGGGAGGACTCCCACTCAAGTAAAATGAAAGCACGCCACTGGGCACTGACCAATGCCACAGCTGTCATTCCCTTCAGAGCTCTGGTGAGAAAGAAGGTTCCAGAGCCTGTGGTTTTAGCAGTGGTTGTGCTCATCTGGTCTGCATTCTGTTTCTTTAGCCTTGTTTTAGGGAAGACCTCCCATTCGCTGTTCCTACCTTCTACGAAATCAGCTGTAGTGACCTGATTCGCCCATGCAGATTTGGAACTCATGGGATCATTCGATATTTGCTGTGACCCCTGAAATCTACTTTCCTTAGAATCTAGGCTTCACTGCATGTTTGCATTACTCTCTTCTCTGTTGCAACTACTGTGATTATATCATTACTCACATGAGCAGGTGATGGGGAGGGCTACAGGTGTGGAATCAGGCTTGACCTGCAGACCTGCCATGCTTGGCCCAGGCAGGTGCCTTGGGTCAGGGCTTGGGCCCCCCTGAGGGGAGGGAGCGGGCAGGGAGAGGAGCACAGGAGCCATGGAGGGTTGTGGTGGGGAACCCAGCTTGTAATATTTCCTGGCCAGGCCAGGTTTGGCCTCAGCTTGTGGTGAGATTAAATCCATGTTGGTAGGGATCAGAAGTAGGGCTGTGGTTGTGTTTCAGAAATATTTTGGCAGAAATTCAGAGAATGTTCTGGCAAGTTGAGTGAGCAGTGTAAGGGAGCCTAGGCAGGACATTGTCTTGACCAGATCCAGAGCTGGGAAGAGGCGAACGAGGGCCAGGACCAAGATGGAGAGGAGGGAAAGAAGGAAGAACACATCACAGTGGATGCCTGAGTGTTGACTGTCCAGGGTGTGGGGCATGGGGGCCTCACTACCTGGAGAAGAAAGAAGGCCCGGCTCACTGGAGGCCATAGTCCAAGGTTGAGAGGGCAACGTCCACCCAGCTCTGCTGACTTCTCTTAGGGGACTGGCCCCCCCGCTGGCCGAGGTTAGCGCAAGGATCACCATGGATCTTCTTCACATCTTACCTGAGTTTCCCTGAGTTTCTAGGACAGTCCCTTTCGTTCTGCTTTATCTAGTTGGGGTTTCAAATTTTTAAGAAGTGGTATCATTTTGCCACAAATAAATCCCTCCTACAAGGTGGCCCAGAGGGATTTATTTGCAGCAAAATGAACTGAGGAGCAGCAGTGGGAAAGGGGTCTGCCCGGTTCAGGGCCTTGTGGGATTTAGCACTGATAGGCTCCCACCCAGTCCCTGAACGCGGCGGGTGGTTGACCGCCCTGGTGGTGGTGGCCAAAGTCATCTCTGGGGACAAGAGAGTTAGACATGGTGGCTGAAAGCGTGGTCTTGGACATGAAGGTTCAGAGGCTGCCTGTCCTGGCAGGCTCTACCTGACTGACCTTGAACAAGTGACACCCTCTCTTAGCTCACTTCCACAGGAAAGCATGCCAATAACAGAAAGGGTTATTCTAGGGTTACAGTGAGGGTCAAGGTCGATGTAAAGGGCTGACACACTGCCCAATTCACGACAGACCCAACCAAAACACCAGGAGACAGAACTTAATTCAGCCTATGACAGACGTTCCAAAGCGTCCTGTTTCCTACTGCACAGTTGTTTTTTTTTTTTTTTTTAAGATTTTATTCATTCATTTGACACAGAGAGATCACAAGTAGAGAGGCAGGCAGAGAGAGAGAGAGAGAGAGAGAGAGAGAGAGAGAGAGAGAGGGAAGCAGGCTCCCCGCTGAGCAGAGAGTCGAATCACTGTGTCTGTATCCTCTGGGTAAATACCTAGTAATGCAGTTGCTCGGTGGTAGGGTAGCTCTGTTTTTAACTGAACCTCCATACTGTTTCCCAGAGTGGCTGCACCAGTTTGCACTGGGGATGGAGATTTTTTAAAAAGCCATTATCAGGGGCGCCTGGGTGGCTCAGTGGGTTAAGCCGCTGCCTTCGGCTCAGGTCATGATCTCAGGGTCCTGGGATCGAGTTCCGCATCAGGGAGCCTGCTTCCCTCCTTCTCTCTGCCTGCCTCTCTGTCTACTTGTGATCTCTCTCTGTCAAATAAATAAATAAAATCTTTAAAAAAAAAAAAAGCCATTATCATTTCCCAGGATAATCCAAAAGCTTTACAAAGAAAGTCTTGGTCCAGATCTGATTAGAAACCCACTGTTCGGAGTGCCTGGGTGACTTAGTCAGTTAAGTGTCTTTTTTTAGCGCAGGTCATGATCCCAGGGTCCTGGGATTGAGTGCCTCACCAGGCTCTCTGCTTAGCCGGGAGCCTGTTTCTTTCTTTCCCTCTGCGTACCACTCCCCCTGCTTCTGCTCCCTCTGTGTCAGATAAATAAATAAAATCTTAAAAAAAAAGACAAGCCACTGTTTATAGGGTCTCATAATTAAATATGAGATAATGGAAATAGTATATGTAACAAGCAACTAGTTATAAAATGAAGTTGGATGTATATGTTGCTTTTACAAATTGAGGGTAGCATTTTATGTTTTTATGTTTTTCTTTTTTTTTAAGTTTTTATTTATTTATTTGAGAGAGAGAGAGAAAGAGAGCGAGAGAGAGAAATCACAAGTTGGGGTGGAGGGGCAGAGGGAAAAGGAGAAGTAGGCTCTGCACTGAGCAGGAAGCCTGACATGGGGCTCAATCCCAGGAGCCTGAGATCCTGACCTGGGCGGAAGGCAGATCTTAACTGACTGAGCCACCCAGCACTCCTGTTTTTGTTTTTCTAATTTTATGTTATTCTGCTTTTATCTTATCTTAACTTTAAATATTATCTGTTAAAGTGAAGTCTTTGTAAATGTATTGAAGAACTTTTTCTCCAGCATGTTTCTCTGGTTTGGGCCTTACTTAAAACTCTTAGGATAAAGTTGATTACTCTCCAACTCCGTATTGTCTTTCCTGTGTCTGTCCAGTTGATGTTTTTCGACTTAATAAGAGCCAGAATGATACAAACATAATTCTCAAGCTTTAATAGTTAAAGTAAATGTCCGAATAATGTTGAAATATTTGTTGGATTTTGTCTTTCTTTCCTCTACATTCTATCTGTTCTCATTCCCACAGTGGTAGCCACAGGGAAATGATAAAATGAGGGATGTGCTCATCTTTGTTTTGGTTGAGACACGTGAATTTACTGGACATTTTCTACAAGCCTGTTTTCACAGTGTGTCCCAGTCTGGAGTGATTATTAACCTGGGGTCCATGCATGGGCTTCAGGGGATCTTTTTAGGGGATCTTAAAATAATGGGTATATAATTGCCATCTAATGTTTTAATATGGGGGAATACCATTTAATTAAAAGCTGGCATCAAATTAAATCATTGAAATATTAAGTCTTAGAAAATGCAGTGTGACATAGAATTAGAAATTAAGTTCTAGGGCATCTGGGTGTCTCAGTTGGTTAAGTGACTACCTTCGCCTCAGGTCATAATCCTAGAGACTCAGGATGGAGTCCCGTTGGGCTCCCTGCTCAGCAGGGAGTCTGCTTCTCCCTCTGACTGTCCTCCCTCATCTTGTGGTCTCTCTCTCTCATTCTCTCTTTCAAATAAATAAATAAAATCTATTTTAAAAAGTTAAAAAAAAAAAGACATTCTAAGTTCTACATTAACTCTCTGGGCATCTGATTTGGAGGGGGAATTTAATGTCTCATCATCAGAATAGGGAACATTTTTTTTTTTTTTTGCCACAGGGAAGAGAGGTTCTCTGGGTCTCAGCAGTGATCTGTTTTCCCCATAGGCCTGGGCAGATGATGTGCAGCGATTTCGGAAAATATTCAGACACCCACGTCACGTGCAGCTGAAGGTGGTTGCTGGCAACCATGACATTGGCTTCCACTATGAGTAAGTTGTTCAGTGAAGCATTGCCCCCCCGAGAGCTTCGTTAACTAGAGCTTTAAACCTGCCACCATTCAGGTGAGAGCCTTATTTGTGCTGGGGGAGGCGGCAGACATTTGTTGTTCTTGAAAGATGGAAGCCCTAGGAGCATGAACTCCACAGGGTGAAGATTTTTGTCTTGGCACAATGTACACCTTTAATGAATCTCTGTTGAATAAATGATTTGTCTGTGCACTTGGGTGACGAACTTGAAGCTTACAATTAATGACCAATTATTTTCTTTGGGACTCAGAAAACAAGACCATTTCGACTTTTGTAAATAGTATTTTACATAGTGCTTACAATGTGTCAGTCAGTTTTAAGTATTGTATTATTTTTTCCTCCAAATTTTTATTTAAATTCTAGTTAGTTAACCTATGGTGTAATACTGGTTTCAGGAATAGAATTTAGTGATTCATCACTTACGTATATCGCCAATGCTTATCATCACAAGGGTCTTCCTTAATCCCCATCCTCCATCTAGCCAATCCCCCCTCCCACCTCCCTCCAGCAACCCTCAGTTTGTTCTCTATTGAAGAGTCTCTTAGGGTTTGTGTCCCTCTCTCTCTCCTTTCTCCTTTCCTCTATGTTCATCTGTTTTGTTTCCTAAATTCCACATATGAGTAAAATCATATGGTATTTGTCTTTCTCTTATTTTGCTAGCTTCATCTGCGTCATTGCAGATGGCAAGAGTTCATATTTTTTGATGGCTGAGTAATATTCCATGGCTATAGACCACCTCTTATCTATTCGTTAGTCGATGGACTCTTTCCGTAGTCTAGCTGTTGTGGATAATCTTGCTATAAACATCAGGGCTAAGCACTTTACTTCCATAAATCAACTCATTTAATCTTTCTGATGGTCCTGTTATTTTAACCATTGTGCCAGTGAGGAAACTGAGACTCTGGGGACTAAGTCACTTGCCCCAGTGCTTGTGGTCACTCAGTGGTGGAGGGTTTGCCTCTGACAGCCTGGGCCAGCTGGAGCCCTCACCTCCCAAGGCTAGTCCAACACTCAGATCCCGAGTTATTTCCTGTGTTTATGCTAACTCTTAAGAGGTCCTAAAATGGCTTGCTCTGAAAAATGTTTTTTTTTACAATTGAATCTAGGATGAGCACATACAAAATAAAACGATTTGAGAAAGTTTTCAACCCCAAAAGGCTGTTTTCTTGGAAGGGAATGAAGTGAGTATTATTTGTGAATTCTTAGGAAGCCCTTTCCTTCCTTTGGACTTCTTTTTCTAAGGGAGCCATTGTCCTGGGTTGGAGTTGGGCTCTGTGTGGCCTGCTGTACCATTTCAGATGAAGGCACCCCAGGCCTCCTCCCTCCCTGATGGTCACCATCGGGGTCACCAACCTGGTGTTCCTTAACAAGCTGCAAGTGGACTGGCCAGTTGATGACTTTGCCTGGCCACTGAGGGCATTCCCTTCCTGCCTGCCATGTCTCTGGGTGCTAGAACATTCATCAACCCACTCTGTAAAGGATCTTATTTTTATTTGTTCAAAATGTACTTCTTTTCCTTTATAAAGGATGCCCTCGTGGGTATGCTGTCCCAGGGTTTGGGGGTGGGTATGTTCACTGTCCTTTAGCTGTGTGCCACCCCAACTCCCGTCCCATCAGCCTTGATTTGTAGACCAAATCCTCCCCACCCTTTCCTTAGACAGTGAGCTCCCCCTCTGTGTGGCCATTCTTATGCCATCCCCGGGCCCTGTCATGTCTGGGTGTGTATTCCCAGGGTGGTAGATAAGACTGAACATGTTGTTCTGGTTGCAGACCTACTGGAGGGAGAAGAGATGGGAGAGGAAGACTCTTCCTCTTTCGATCATGGCCCTTTGGGTGTCCAGCGCTCATGGCTTTGGCCATGGCAGCTCACTGGGTCCGTCACAAGAGATGACCTGTGACACTCCCGGAAACCAGGTCAAGGGTTCTCCACCAATGCTCACTCCTTCCCTCTCCTTAACCTGTAGTACTGAGTCTCTAGCAGCTTCCTTTCCTGAGTCCTATGAAGACCGGGCACAGTTTCAGTTCTTTTTCCTTAGGCATAGAGTTTAAGAAACTTGAAACCCACTGATCGTATTTCAGATCATTTAGTTAGCTCCCCATTGCTAAGATTCTTTAAATTTCAAGCAGTGTTTACTGACAGGTGCCTTCTTCAGGCCCAGCTGATATGTGTGTCGGAAACAAAAGCCTGTTTAACGGTAGTCTGTACAGATCTAGGTAAAGTGGTCTGTAGAGGGCAGCCGTCCCTGGCTTTACCAGCTTCCTGGTTTGGGGTCATCTGCACCCGTTAGCTCTGGCCGGCACCCCTCCCTGCCCCGCCTCGCCCTGTCTGCTGCGTGTACAGATGTCAGTGAAGATTGCCTGTGCTTCACTGTTCAGGGATTTCTCACGCATTCAAGGTTCAAACTCCTTTGACTGTGTCTTAGGCTCCCCTCCCAGTATAACGCTCTGGTGCCTTCTTAGTATCAACTCGAACCTAAAACAGGTTAGTCGAGTTGAGGCTTCAGGCCGCTCTGGGATGGGTTTCTTCACACTGTGGCCCCTCACCTTTTGTGTCATGGGAGCAGAACTGCCAGAGTCCGGACACGGGAAGCCCAGGGGCTCTGACCGTCCGCTTGCTCCCTCTTCCTCAGTTTCGTGATGGTCAACAGCGTTGCCCTGGAAGGGGACGGCTGCCACATCTGCTCCAAAGCGGAAGCTGAACTCCTGGAAATTTCTCACCAACTGAATTGCTCCCGTGAGGTAGGAGCACCCGAAGGCACAGGGGCTTCTGTTCTGGCATCTTCTACCCGGCGGTCGCTGCACCTGGTATTTCCTGCGTCGCTCAGCTCCCTCTTCCTTTCTTACCGCTCGGGGCTCGGGGACACCAGCTCTGCCAGGGTAACCAATTTCTCACCAGCAGGAACGTGGCTCCGGCCCCTGCCGAGATGTGCCGCTGCTGCCCGCGTCCGCCCCGGTGCTCCTGCAGGTGAGCGGGGACCGCGCGGCTCTGTCTCCCCGGATCTGGCCCAAAACGGCCGGGGCCCCCCCTGCTCACATCTGACTCTCTAATATCTGGGCAGCATTTCCCGCTTTACCGGAGGAGCGATGCTAATTGTTCTGGGGAGGACGCTGCGCCTCTGGAAGAGCGGGGCATCCCCTTTAAGGAGCGGTACGACGTGCTTTCCCGGGAGGCCTCTCAGCAGGTTTGCGGGGGAGTGGGATGCCCACCCACCCACGGGACTGACGGACCGCCATGGACAGCCATTGGCACACTTGGAGGCGGGGGGGGGGGGTGGGCCATGGGGGGGTGGGAGGGGGGGGTTAAAGGGATGCGGGCTCAGGTTTTCATGTCCTCCTTTGGTTCCTCCCCTGCCCCCAGTAATTCTGTTTCCTAATAGCAAGTGAGTAATAATATCCTCAGCTATTCTTTAGTCCGAGTTTTTGTTCATCAACTTAAATGTGTCTGAAAATGTGAATGGAATTTAAGAGCTAATTTTGGGGCACTTCATTCAGATGAGCTTACTTATATGTTTATAACTATATTTATATTATAGAAACACATATTTGTATAGTGGATGACATACTATATCATACAATAGAAATATAAAATAAATTTATAAAAATATTTGTAAAAATATAAAATCTGAGAGAAGGAGGACAGAGTCTCCCTAAAAGCCTGAGCTTACTTTTTGATAGGGTCTCAGCCAACCAAAGGATGTTAAGGAAAAGATAAAGCCCCCGACCAAGTAGGGATTTTATATTTAGCTTCATGAAATAAGTGGGTGGCCAGTCGCTGGGCCCTGAGGGGACTCTGTGCAGGCACTGACCACCTGTTGGCTGTGTTCCCCTGCCCCACCGGGTGTGGTAGCTACTTTGGTGGCTGCGGCCACGTCTCATCCTGAGTGGCCACACGCACAGTGCCTGCGAGGTGCTCCACGGGGCGGGAATCCCCGAGATCAGCGTGCCCTCTTTCAGTTGGAGGAACAGAAACAACCCCAGCTTCATCATGGTAATGTGAACATTTATTTTCATCTGAACGCTCGCATAGAAGTACTGAAATCAACACAGTAATCAACTATTTAATTGCTGCAATCTGTAAAAACGTACAAACGCTGTGAATACAAACTTGCCTTCCTCCCCATGTGCACTTGGTTTGATTCACAGACCCCTTTCCCCGTGCCTCGTGCCTCTCTGGGGACACGTGAGCGCTGCATGGCCCTGGAGGGGGTGGGGTGGGGGCTGGGCATCCTTCAGAACGCGTCAACCCCATGGACCTGGTATGGTCCTCAGATAAGAGGCTCTGTGTGTCTAATTTTCAAAGGAAACCGGAGCCTGTCTTCATTGGCCAGACGCCATCATCTTGTCTTAAGTCAGGAGAATGCTATAGCTCTGGCTAGTGCACTTGACATGTCATTTCAATTAGTGGCTACTTTTACTTCATGAAAAGATGGGGAAACCCTCATGTTTTCAAGTTCAAAGTGAATGAGACCACTCCTCAGTGTCAGTCCACACCGCAAAAACGCTTAAAAGAAAAGCCCACTGAGGTGCCCCCAGCCCATGCATTTCTGGGTAACAGGTTGCTTAATTTAGCAGAAGTGGCATGAGAAATGGCCTTGTAGTCCTTGTTTCTCAGTGCCCACTGATGTAAAATCTCCATGCGTCTTGCATCTCTGTCATGTTGCCCAGTGCATTATAGCGGGGGACCTGCTGTGCCAGGGGCTAGTTTCAGTGGAGGGTTCAGCTCTACTCAGCACACTGGGATCCTTGCCTTCATGTCTCCACCAGTGCTTCTGGTTGGTGGGTGGTGGCTTGTGGAGGCCCAAGGCTGTGCCCCTTCCTCTCAGGAGGAGAGCTACTTCCTGGCCTCACCTGACTCAACCAAGATGGCTGCTTTGCCTCAACTGTGTCTAAGTCTGTTGTGTGGCAATGTGGGAGGGCTCTCGCTGCAGCATTAACCTCCTCATTTCCTTTCCAGGGCAGTATGACGCCCACAGAGTACGCCCTTGCCAAGTGCTACCTGCCTCACGAGGCTACCGTTCTGGCCACATACTGTGTAGCAGCTGGGCTCCTGGCGGTCCTCCTGTTAGTCCACTCCAGACTTCTACCCTCACCTTTTCTTTTGGGCTGGAACCTGCTCAGGAAATTTAAGACAACGTAAAGAGCAGGAGACTTGTGTATTTCGTCATAAGTAACAAAGCCAAAGAAACTGGACCTTGGGCAGGGCTCACGGGAGATGAGGTCAAAGGAGGCGGTCTTTATACACATCACGGAAACTGTTAATCACTGATGCAAATTCCTGCAGAATAAATAGTTGATGGTACTGTTCTCATGCTATAAAAATGGAACGTGTACTCTACAACAAGTCTTGTCTCATTTTATCAAATATATGTATCATCAAAGATCGTGTCTGTACAATATGTAAAAGCTATTAAAGTCATCACTTGCATGCACGAGGCTGTCCTACCTTCCCCAGGATGGAGCCGGCGGCCCGGGAACACACTCGGGGTTGTGTGTGCACAAACACTGGGTTTGCTTCTGTCCCCTTACGAAGTGGTCCACAAACTCCTATTATATATGATAAAGCTGTACACTTAAAATAATAAAAGTACAGATGTCACAAGCAGGAATATGTTTTTGTAGACTTTTGTACTTCTGTGCTAATCATGGAATTGGATTTTTAGAGAACGTTAATTTTCTCTCCAGCAGACCAGGCTGTTAAAATCTGAATGTAATGCCCGTCCATGATCCAAAGGGACTTGAAAAAAAGGACTGGGAAGTGGCTTTTGGTATTTAAAAATAAATATGTTTTGATAATTTTCCACCAGATAAAATGTGTTCTTTCTGTGTGTCTTCTGTGAGCCTGGCTCTGTCTCTGAATAGGAAGCTTAGTCCCAGGGGTACTGCTGAGGGATAATGTACGTAAGAGCACACAACTTTGCTTTTTGGGCACACGTGGGGGGTGCGTGGCTCTGGCGTTCTTCCATGTTCTACGTTGAAAGTGCAATGGAAAGAAAATAATTGCCACTTTATGTGTCTCATTTCAGATCAGGGTTTTACGCAACAAGGATGAGAGGTGCAGAATTGAGTGACGCTGACGTAAATTATGTGTTTATTACCCTGATCGATCATCTGGAAAGTTGTCATCCTCTCTTTCTTGGAAAAGTCGAATTTAAATCTGGATGCATTTATAAAGGATTATAAAATGCTGCCTTCCAGAGTAAACTTTAAGATATTAAAGACTAAAAGGAAATGAAGTGACGTCAGTGAGGCTGTATTGTTGAAATATAACTTTGGACATCTCTGCAGGTTATATTGGACCCAAGAAAACTGCCCTCCAAGCGTGGCTGTGGACAGAACATGTAAAGCATCACTGCTCTAGTAATTCTTGCTTTCTAGATCTTGTACCATACTATAACTTATAAGGCTGCATTTGCAAATCTTGCCTGTGTGAGAAACAGCCATAGGTTTTTGATTCTGCATTTCAAATAAAGGTTTCGTAATCTTTCTTCTTCAAGGGGCAAATGGAGATGCCATCCTTTGACTCTCAGACTGGACACAGACACTGACGCCCTCTGTTTCCTTCTTGCTATTTGCTTACAATAGAAACTGTGGTCAAGTGGGTGGTTCAAAAGCTTCGACTAAGGGAATGCTTGGCCTATTTCTACTCAGAGGGCTTGTAAAAGTCTTTAAATTGCAAAAATTCAAAAGGCATTGTTTGGAGGAAAAAAAAATCCTTGGTTTCTGTAAGAAGCTTGTGATGTGGGTACAAAATGGTAAGATGTGACTAATTCATGTGTATAATTTATATGTGTGTGTGTGTGTATATATTTAATCAAGGATATTTTTAAAAGTACTAACCTGATAAAATAGTCTAAATCCTACAGATACCATTCTCTTTTTTAGAGCAAGCAGCAGGTAATGCTGACATTTAGCTCTTCACGATAAAAACACGGTTTCTTTACAGATAGAGCCGTAATCAAGGCACAAGGACCTACAAGGACTTTTGAAGGAGTTATATAAAATAATATTACATTTGGTGGTCTGTACAGTTATAATAAACCAGCCATAAAACAACAACAACAAGGTATGGAAGGAGACTCTTGTCCAAGCATAATCAAAGTCTAGAGAATCATTTGGAGACAGGACAGCGGTGGATGTGGTAGGTTTTCTGCCTAAATGTAAAAGGCTCCAAGTAGGTCCAATGTAATGCCTGAGGTCGGCAGCGACTCAAAGAGGACTGAAAAGAGGGTTTCCCTCCACTCTGTGACTTGAGGTCTGGCCTCGCTCTTGGGCCGACTCAGCTCCGAAAGGGAGGCCACTTATCCACCTGACCGCATCGTTCCCCTGCTTCTACAAACCTTGCTTGATAATTCGGAAAAATGGCCATTGCTCCCCCATTTATAAAGCTCCCACTGAATCAATAAAGCACTGAGTGGATGAATAAGAGGGGCCCTCGCCCGGACAGACTTCACTGCAGCACCCCACTGCGTGACAGCGGTGGTCTGCAGTGACACAGATGGGTACAAGTGGGGACGCTGGGGAAGGTTGTGCTCAGTGAAGAGGAAAGCTACAAACCAAACCCGAGGGGAACAGAGGTAGCCAGAGGCTTGGTGGTCACACAGGAGCGAACACAGAACAGGACAGGCGGCAGCTGGATGAGACTGGGAACTGCCTACTTTTGACCACGGCTTGGGGGTGACAGTGCTGGAGTAAATGCTCCACCTGGCAGGGTGGCCAGGGGAGGCGGGGAGGGCAGAGAGAAGGTGCGAGAAGACGCGCCCCCTCCCTCCTCCCCGCCAGGGCTGCCTCACAAGAGTTCGTACTGTTTGAGGTGCATTCTCTGGATAATGTCACGGCAGTCGTTGAACACCCTGCGAATGTTCTCGGTGTCCACGGCGCAGGTGAAGTGTGGGTAGCAGTAATGTTTGCCATCCCCTGTGGCTGTGCTGATCCTCTGCAAAAAAAGAAAGAAAAGCTGTCTGTGCGGTGGGGCCCTGGCTACCACACCCATGGAGTACGTGGGAACACTGGCACCACCACCCCATTAGTTCTTGGAGAAGGATTTAGGCAACTCTTTGACCAAAGTTAAGAGGATCTGGGGTTGTGGTGTGTTTGACACAGGAACATTTAGCTGTAGGCACTGCTGGAAACTCAAAGAAACTCACACTTACCTCTGCCTACAGAAACTTAGGGTTCAGTTGGGATAGGAGACACCTTCAAAAGATGGCCACTGAGAGAAATCAGGGTAGAATTTTCCAGAAATGAAGGTCAGTCCTAAACTAGCGCTATCAAACAGAACTTTGTGCATAATGGAAATATTCTCTATTCGCCTTGTCAGTACGGGAGCCACTATTACTAGCTGATGCAACAGAGATGGATTTTTTCATTAAATTTGATTAAGTTTAAATATCCACATATGACTAGTGGTTCCAGGCGGATTGCACATTGGTCACGCTGCCTCCTCCTTCACCTAGAACTTGAGTGTTTCCTGGCGGTGTCCCCTAGTGAGCAGTGGGAGGTTCTGTGGGAGGTTCATGGCTTTTCTCCCAGAGGAGAAAAAGCATGGCTGGTCATGATTCACAAGGACATCGTGGGGTGACATGCCCAGTGCACTGAGAAACTAAGTGGGCACATGTGGAGAGAGCCTGTCATGGGCTGAACTGTGTCCTCCCCACACCAATTCATATGCTGACATCCTAACCCCCAGCACCTCTGAGTGTGACTATTTGGAGACAGGATCTCTTTTTAAAGAAGTAATTTAAGTTAAACAGTGGTCATGTGGGTGGGCCCTAATCCCATAAAACGGGTATCCTCATAGGAAGAGAGGAGATTGGGACACTCACACACGAGGAAAGGCCATGTGGAGACGCCAGGTGAAGATACAACGAGAAGGTGAACATCTACAAGCCAAGGAGCGAGGCCTCAGGAGAAACCAATCCTGTTGACCCTCTGATCTCGACTTCTAACCTCCAGAAGTGTCAGAAAATAAATGTTGGGTAAGCCCCCAGTCTGTGGTGCTTTGTTATGGCCGCCCCATCTGGGGAACGCAGAGGTCATGTGGAGCTCTCTTCATAGGTGCCCACAGGGATCCCTGCACATCCTCCTTGTCCCTCCCCACCAACCCAACCCCTCTTCCTGCAAAGCATCTTGGGAATCAGCTGTTGGAGAGATGCTGAGACCCCCAGCTGGGCTGTCTAACGATGTTCCTCAGGTTATGAAAGTCCTTCTGGGAGGACTTATTTTTAGCAATAGTCAGGCTTCTCTTGAGCAATTACAACTTTTACAAGACCGATGGACCCTGAAATGTGTGGGTTAGGTAGAGGGAGCCCTGCAGCTCTCGGGGAGGGACGGGCACCTGGGGAGGAAGCACGCAGTGGGTAAGAAACAGGCTTCCTTCTGTACTAATGGGATGGCTTGTCCCTGCCTTGGGCAACAGAACGTAAGCCAGAGCCACTCCAGAGCGTGCTGCAGTCGGCTTATCTCTAACTGTTTCCTAGCATTTCTAAACTTTTTCATTTTAAATGACAGAAATGAGCTTGTCAAGGAAAGCTGGGCCATTACAGACTCTGCCTGACTGGCGGGAGATGATGTTCAAGGTAAAACGGAGGGGAGCTCATAAAATACCAGGATGAGAAGCCCAGTTAAAACACACAGGCTTCTACCAGATGCCAGAACATCAAGACACAGGGTACAGGATACCAACCTCATGCTCTACCTTTGAAACCTTCTGCTCTAAAAGGTTTGGTGCTGCCTGCCCTGAGGGCCCCTCCGGCCCAAGTCTGGGCATGGTGGGCTTGTGGGTGGTTTCCAGTCTGAGGGACAGGACCACCTGAAGATGATAAGGGGAACACTGGGGACTGACCACCCAGTCCTCCCTCCCTCCTGGCTCCTGGCTCTCTCCATTCTGAGTTCCTCCCACGGGGAGATGATTTGGGCCTTTCCGTTGTGGGAGGAAGTGACCCTGACTGGGACAAGCCTCCTGGTGGCCAGCGCCTTACTCACGGGAGGACATGTAAGGAGGCTGCTCAGACAGCGTGTGGCCCTGTCTCACCGAGGGGCTCTTCTCATCATGCCTTCCCCTCTCTGCCCAAGCCCACCTTTCCCTCCTCAAGGCCAGGTCCCCCCATCTACCTCTCCCTCTCCATGTACAGCCCTTATTCCCCATCCCATCTCAGGGCGTTTTATGGCCAAAGTTACTGTTTTGCCTACACCTGCTCTGTCCAGATTCAATACAGATCAACAACCGTGTCTGCAGCCCACCCTGCTTCCTTCAAAGTCTGGGGTCAGGGCTCCCAACTCAAAACTCTTCAGATGACTCACTGACCCAGGCAAATTCCACCATTAAAAAAAAAAAAAAAAAGTCATTAACCCCCTAGGCTTTTATTTCCCTGGCTTGCAAACTGTACACGAGCCAGACTACGTCCATCGTTAGAGAAGAAAAGATTTCTTCGCGACCTCCCCATGGTAGTGGCACGGCCATTCATTTTGGGAGGGGGGACCCCTGTTTCTAATCTTTACATGGCTATTGTGCACACTTGGTTACCTTCCAGTTCTCATCAGAACAGCATTTTATGGGACACTCTGTATGTGCTTTTCTATTCTATGGTCTTGCAAGATGTTCCTCAAAAAGGGAGTCTGTGATACCCTACAAACAAATTCACCTTCTTGAAGAGATTCGCCATGCACACGGGCACAGCAAAGGCTCTGACAATGGAGAGACCGGTCTCACTTGATTTACACGGCATCTCCCCGACTCCCTCACCGCAGGACCCTTCCCGGTGTTACCTGTTAACCTCCGGGGGAAACACTGTGCGTCAGAACTCACTTTGGGGCCTGGATTTCCTTCTCCTTTTTACTTTCACACTCAGTATGTGAGGCAGGAGGCCACCCAAAGGGGCCGTGGTGGGAAGAGGATAGAGAAAGAGGTTCCCCTGGGTCAGGCGGGGCCCGATGTGGAGCACCCCACCCCCACCCCCTGCAGACTGGGAGGACTTCCGCCTCTCTGGAAGCACGTAGTCCCTGTGTCCAGTACTGTCGGGCACTGCTGGGAAAATGTCCTTGGTGTTGTGGCATCTACTACTTTCAGTCTAGTAAAAACTCCCAGCAGTTACATGCTGCACGTTATTCAAGAGACTGTGGATGGATGGACGGATGGATGGATGGATGGATGGATAGATGAATAAAGCAAATGCAGCAAAATTTTACCAATTGGTCACTTTGGGTGAAGAGTATCCAGAGGTTAATTGTATAAGTCTTTTACTTCTTTTTTTTTTTTTAATTTTATTAACATATAATGTATTGTTTGTTTCGGGGTACCACTGTGGGAAGTCTTTTAGGTTAGTTTGAAATCATCTCAAAATAAAAAGTTTGAAAAAAGAGAGAGATACTGGAATTTGTCTGCATGTCTGAATTAGCCTCCTAGTGGTGAATGAAGGGAGAGGTCTGTCAAAGGTCTCTTTCATTTTAGAAAATGCAAAGGAACACAGTATGGCTCGTCTCCGTGTCATTCTCTGGGACCTTGGGCACAGTGGGAGAAGTGCTCCCTGTTGTTGCTTGGAAGCTGTGTGACCCGAGGTGAGAAGTCCAAACTCTCTGAACCTCGGTATGCTCAGTGGTGAGAGGAAGCAACACCTCCCCTCATCTCTCATAATTTGGGGGGGAGATTAAGTGAGATCATGAAAGGGTAGGTAATATGTAAATTGCAAAGAACACTATAAATAAGGTGGTAGGAAGACAAAGAACGAAAGAGCTTACCAAAAACAGGTCTCGGATAAAGAACTTAGCCCGGGTCACCTTGGGATCTTCTCCTGCATCTGGTGTTGCTGTGAAAATGACAAGTGGAATTCAGTTTAAATAGCATGAAACAAAGATCCAACTCTAGGGAAAATAGAGGAGGAACCACAAAGTTGGGCTGCAGCAGACTCATAGCACTAAAAGGCGCCTGCAGGAAGGCAAAAAGCTAAAATGTAACTTTATTCCTCTCCTTTAGCTCTGACAAAAGTTTTGTTTTTGGTGGTAGGGGAGGACTCCCACTCAAGTAAAATGAAAGCACGCCACTGGGCACTGACCAATGCCACAGCTGTCATTCCCTTCAGAGCTCTGGTGAGAAAGAAGGTTCCAGAGCCTGTGGTTTTAGCAGTGGTTGTGCTCATCTGGTCTGCATTCTGTTTCTTTAGCCTTGTTTTAGGGAAGACCTCCCATTCGCTGTTCCTACCTTCTACGAAATCAGCTGTAGTGACCTGATTCGCCCATGCAGATTTGGAACTCATGGGATCATTCGATATTTGCTGTGACCCCTGAAATCTACTTTCCTTAGAATCTAGGCTTCACTGCATGTTTGCATTACTCTCTTCTCTGTTGCAACTACTGTGATTATATCATTACTCACATGAGCAGGTGATGGGGAGGGCTACAGGTGTGGAATCAGGCTTGACCTGCAGACCTGCCATGCTTGGCCCAGGCAGGTGCCTTGGGTCAGGGCTTGGGCCCCCCTGAGGGGAGGGAGCGGGCAGGGAGAGGAGCACAGGAGCCATGGAGGGTTGTGGTGGGGAACCCAGCTTGTAATATTTCCTGGCCAGGCCAGGTTTGGCCTCAGCTTGTGGTGAGATTAAATCCATGTTGGTAGGGATCAGAAGTAGGGCTGTGGTTGTGTTTCAGAAATATTTTGGCAGAAATTCAGAGAATGTTCTGGCAAGTTGAGTGAGCAGTGTAAGGGAGCCTAGGCAGGACATTGTCTTGACCAGATCCAGAGCTGGGAAGAGGCGAACGAGGGCCAGGACCAAGATGGAGAGGAGGGAAAGAAGGAAGAACACATCACAGTGGATGCCTGAGTGTTGACTGTCCAGGGTGTGGGGCATGGGGGCCTCACTACCTGGAGAAGAAAGAAGGCCCGGCTCACTGGAGGCCATAGTCCAAGGTTGAGAGGGCAACGTCCACCCAGCTCTGCTGACTTCTCTTAGGGGACTGGCCCCCCCGCTGGCCGAGGTTAGCGCAAGGATCACCATGGATCTTCTTCACATCTTACCTGAGTTTCCCTGAGTTTCTAGGACAGTCCCTTTCGTTCTGCTTTATCTAGTTGGGGTTTCAAATTTTTAAGAAGTGGTATCATTTTGCCACAAATAAATCCCTCCTACAAGGTGGCCCAGAGGGATTTATTTGCAGCAAAATGAACTGAGGAGCAGCAGTGGGAAAGGGGTCTGCCCGGTTCAGGGCCTTGTGGGATTTAGCACTGATAGGCTCCCACCCAGTCCCTGAACGCGGCGGGTGGTTGACCGCCCTGGTGGTGGTGGCCAAAGTCATCTCTGGGGACAAGAGAGTTAGACATGGTGGCTGAAAGCGTGGTCTTGGACATGAAGGTTCAGAGGCTGCCTGTCCTGGCAGGCTCTACCTGACTGACCTTGAACAAGTGACACCCTCTCTTAGCTCACTTCCACAGGAAAGCATGCCAATAACAGAAAGGGTTATTCTAGGGTTACAGTGAGGGTCAAGGTCGATGTAAAGGGCTGACACACTGCCCAATTCACGACAGACCCAACCAAAACACCAGGAGACAGAACTTAATTCAGCCTATGACAGACGTTCCAAAGCGTCCTGTTTCCTACTGCACAGTTGTTTTTTTTTTTTTTTTAAGATTTTTTTTTTTTTCATTTAACACAGAGAGATCACAAGTAGAGAGGCAGGCAGAGAGAGAGAGAGAGAGAGAGAGAGAGAGAGAGAGAGAGGGAAGCAGGCTCCCCGCTGAGCAGAGAGCCCGATGCGGGACTCGATCCCAGGACCCTGAGATCATGACCTGAGCCGAAGGCAGCGGCTTAACCCACTGAGCCACCCAGGCGCCCCCTACTGCACAGTTTGAATGGAAAGTCAAACCTTGACATTTTTACACATGGAATCCTAAATGGGACATTTTAATATACTAGTACTTTAAGGTAAGGCAGTAGTCCAGAGGATTGATTCAAATTAACTGAAATTCCCTAAAATCATTGAAACTGTTTGAACTATAGTAATAGGGGTATTAAAAAAAACACAACAACAACTGATCAATCAATCCTTTTCCTTAGGAAAACTAGTTTTGAAATCTTACCATCTTCAGGAACAGTATAATTTGCATACTCTGGGAAATAATCTTCAATTTTTGATTTCCCTGCCAAGACTTTTTCTGCCAGCATATCCTGTTTGTTCAAGAACAAGATGATAGAAATGGTCCGTAACCACCTGAAGAGAGAAATAAACATACAAAGTCCACATCCGCTAGTATGTGAAAGTACCTGTAACACAGGGGTCACTTGCTGAAAAGAACCACATTGTCATCTTCCTGATATGTATAGGAATTAGAATTGATATACCAACCTCATGGACCCCCACTCCAGCTGCAAGCAACACATTCTTATAATAAGTAAACCTTATTATAAATAAATACTGATAGTTGATGTAGTAGTTCAGTACTTTCTTTCTTTTTTTTTTTTAAAGATTTTATTTATTTATTTGACAGAGAGAGAGAGAGATTGCAAGTAGGCAGAGAGGCAGGCGGGGGGGGGTGGGGGGAAGCAGGCTCCCTGCTGAGCAGGGAGCCCGAAGCAGGGTCCATCCCAGGACCCTGAGACCATGACCTGAAGGCAGAAGCTTTAATCCACTGAGCCACCCAGGTGCCCCATAGTTCAGTATTTTTGAATTCATCTTTACTGGGAATGTAAATTTACTGTTACCAAAGCTAAGATTTATTTATGGAATAAATACACCTCGATTTTAGAGTGCAGTTTACTAATAAAGGGTGGGAAAATGAGCCGTTGGAGCATTACTAACAACAAGGAAATACATGAGTCATTAGCTAATCACACAGAATGTAATTTGTAGCTGGCTCAGTTCTTCCTGTGCTGAGTCTGAGCAGGCTGAGGTTCTCCAAAGGTGGAGCAGGACGTTAGACTTCAGTCAAGACCTCGGCAGTGGACGAGCTAAGGGGAGGAGGGTCTCAGGTACAGGGACAGTGAAGGATGGGAAGGTTCTCTTTTATTAAACAGACAGAACAGGCTCAAGATGAACTCAGTACGTGCATCAGCAAAGCCTTTGTAAATTCTATTATTTCCAAGGAATCAAGCTGATTCCTTGTGCACAGGAATCTTATTATGAAGTAGAAACACAACCCATTTTTCCTCCAAATGGAAATAGCTTTACTGTTCCTTGTTATAAAGAATCCAGGTAAAAATGAATTTTTAGTTATAGAAAAATTAATATGTAGGGAAAAATAAAACATAATTATTATTAGAGGCAACTATTAGAACTGCTATGTTTTTACTTCCAGGTTTTTTCCTACCCTCAGACATATTTATAAAAACAAGATCATGGGGGCACCTGGGTGGCTCAGTGGGTTAAAGCCTCTGCCTTCGGCTCAGGTCATGATCCCAGGGTCCTGGGATCGAGCCCCACATCGGGCTCTCTGCTCAGCAGGGAGCCTGCTTCCCCACCCCTCTTCCTGCCTCTCTGCCTACTTGTCATCTCTGTCTGTCAAATAAATAAAAAAACAAAAAAACAAAAAAAAAAGATCATGGTATTTTAAAAACCTGCTTTTTCACTTAACAATATTGTGCTCATTTTCTCATGTGTGTATTTATGTATATATAAATATATATAATATATTCACATATACATTACATTCACATATTATACTTATATATTTATATATTATATATGTATATATGTATATATTATATATGTCAGCAAGTGACATATATAAATATATATTTAATTAATATAATATATTATATATATACATATATATTGATATATATATAAATTTTTAATGACTCCAAAGTATTCTTCCATATACCCAGTATTTCCTGACACTTTCTTTCTCATTGTCTTAATACTATACCACTGAGAACAGTTGTTGAACACTTTTGATAGAAATACTTCTCTGATAAACCAAATGTTTTGCAAGTTCAGCTTAATGTTTCCTGTCGTCCTTGGCGATATTTCTTCTTAAATAGTTCAGAAGATACTTTGAAATTTTTTTGATACTTTGATTTTTAATATTTTTGTGTGTATTGTGTGTGTGTATGCATTTGGTGGGTATTCCCTTCTAAAATAATGACCCTTTCCAACAGTAGCAGTTTCAAACATGATTATGCTGTGCTTCTGACTGTAGGGGATCTTCTAGAGATGATCTAGTGATGTGTGGGTGGTACTTTCTAAACTTCAAAAACCAAACAAAACCAGTTTTGAACTCTAGATATGATCTTGAGCTTTCAAAGCAGATATTAAAATTTTCTTGACAAATCGGAGTGTCCTCAAAGAACACTCCTCTTATTAAGTGTGTCTATATCTGAGATGGACACAAAGAGGTCCTGCTAACAGTTCTGGATTTATCAGTACGGAAAGAATGAATATATCTGGGTTATAAGAATGACAGTGGGCTGAGTGGCATCTTTTTCATAAAGGAACATTTGCCATTTCCAGAGGCGCAACTGAATTTCTGATTTTTATCACCTGTTGTTCCAGATGCTTTCAAAGAGGTCCAGGGACTCTCGGAGCCTGTTGGTGTTGTTATCTTCCCGAATAACCATGTTGTAGCTGCTGCAGGCCGCCACGTAAATGATAGCCGTGACGTCTTCGTGGGAGAAGAGAGAGAAAGGGAAGAGCCTCCGTTAGACAGAGAGCCACTGTGTGGTCATGACAAAGCCCGAGTCCAACCGCTCCTCGTTTTCACCCCGTGATTATGAGAAAGACTTAAAGAAGCACCGTGTGTCCAACTGGTGGTTTCCGTGACACACCTGTAGGAGCTCGTGCGAAATATGAAGCTGGGATGCTTCCATTCCTTTTTTTAAATTTTAATTTTTAAAATATTTTGTTTATTTATTTGACAGAGAGAGACACAGTGAGAGAAGGAACAGAAGCAGGGGCAGTGGGAGAGGGAGAAGCAGGCTTCCCGCCCAGCAAGGAGCCCTATGTGGGGCTCGATCCTAGGACCCCGGAATCATGACCCGAGCTGAAGGCAGATGCTTAACAACTGAGCCACCCAGGTGCCCTTGGATGCTTCGATTCTTGATTAGATTCACATTTAAGGCAGGTAATGGATCGAATTCAAAGCAACTTAAGGGCAGCAGCGGGAATGAGTGTAGGACTCCATCTCTAGTCTTGAGAAAGCAGAGCAATCACCATTAAAGCACTGGATCCATTTTCTTCTCTCGTCCCTCTGGCCACCCACGTCGAACATGCTGTGGAGGAACACAAGGACACAATCCCGTGAGGCGAGACCTGCTCTGTGCCTCTCCTCTGCCGTGGCTCCCGGCCCATGGCCCTGCTCCCCGTGTGGCCATGGCAGACCGCTCGGCCTGCTCTGAGGTTCTGCATCCCTGCCGGGCCCGGGAGTCCACACCCCGCTGTTTCTGGGGGTACAGTGCTCACCCTGCAGTCACCCGGCCGGCCTGGGCCTCTTTTCTCAGGACGGCCTACACAGGACACCCTCCTGCCTGAGCGGCTGCTGTGGACCGACCCAAACACTGCTGGAGTGTCCTCACCTCGGGTGGCTGTGGCTCCCACCTTCCTCCCTGCCCTAAATTTACTGCTTCCCCTTTAGGGCCACGGAGTCTGTATGGACGTATCCAGAAGGGCAGTGAGGCACATCTGGGATGACTGGAGCCCCAGGGCCCATGGGGGAAAGGCTGGACTCCCGACCCCGTTAGGGCCCCAGCAGGCAGCCAGGGGTGGGGGGAGGGGGTACGTCTGGCCTCCCATCTCTGGGAGGCCTGCTCTCAACGACTTACTGAAAGTTTACTTTGTCCACTTGGAATCGGGTCTCGAAAATCCCTGATGTCAGGACTCTGCATCTGAGAAGGTCCTGAGAACAAGAAGACAAACCAGATGGCATCACTGTTCTTCGGAAGGAAAGCCCTGAATGCAACCACAACCATAATAACCAAGTTTTTTCCTTTTCTTTTCTCTTTCTCTCTTCCTTCCTTTTTTTCTTTTTTTAAAGATTTGACTTATTTATTTGACAGAGAGACACAGCGAGAGAGGGAACAGAGGCAAGGGGAGTGGGAAAGGGAGAAGCAGGCTTTCCACTGAGCAGGGAGCCCGATGAGGGGCTGGATCCCAGGACCTTTGGGATCATGACCTAAGCCCAATGCAGACGTTTAAAGACTAAGCCACCCAGGCACTCCCCAAGTTTTTCAAATAACCATTTCTTCCAAATGTGGGAGAGACAATAATACTTAAAAAGTCAAATAAATGTTCTGCCCCCACCCCGCCGCTGCCCCTCAAGCAGAAAGTCACAATTAATGTACTGGTTTGGTCTTAGAGTCTTAAAAGCTGTACTTTTATTTTCTTTGGGAATTAAAAAAAAAAAATGACTTCTGTCCGGGTCCCAGGATGTCCTGTCACAGGTGCGGCTGACATGGGGACCCTGATGGGGCTCTGTGGCCGCACCTTCCCGGAGAGCCGCCTGCTCCTGGTGCCTGCCTCCACTTGGGTGAGAAATCAAGGGCTTGATTGCTCTGTGGGGTAATTTTGAGCCCTGGGGTCAGCCTCACAGAGACGTCAATTTCAGGGGAGACAGGAGCTCAGGCCTAAGAAGAGAGAGCCTCCAGGAGGGGCCCCAGCTAAGGCCCTTCAGGGGGACACAGACCCTGGGGGAGTCTCAGAGGAGCAGTTTAAAGGGAGCACCCAGCTTCTTTGGAGTTCAGTAGCTCTAGAGGAGCCTGGGGGCGGGGCTCCTAAGCTGAGCACTTCAGGGTGATTGAGTCTCTGCAGATGCCTGATGGTCAAGGGTTGGGGGGGGGGGGGCAAAGAAAGTTCCTTCCTGCTACTTATAAAGGGGCTGCGGGGCGCTATAATCCAGCTCAGCCCAAAGACCGAACTCTGAGTCACACCTGTATATGTGAGCCAGGCCAGGGCTCAAAGCACAATGGGCAGAGGGGACGAAGTTCGAGAAGCAAAGGTTGAGCTCTCTGTGGACAGCTCCAAGAGGACTGGGAACTGCTTGTTCCTATTCCACAAATAAGATTATTTCCATATTGGCAGTTTAGAAATCTGGTAAATTTTAGAGAGCTAAGTCAGGGCCCGAATCACAGGGTATGGTAACTATACCCTGTGCACGTGCAGGGGACAGTGGACACAATTGCAGGAAGTGGCTGCTTTACGGATTTCATGCCTTAAGCCATTTACAGATAATCAGTGACTAATAGTGAGGGTTCCCTGAATCTCACCAAGTTAAAGCAGGTGGCTGTGGGCTCTAGCTCACCTACCTGGTCTGTGGGTGTGTAGTCCACCAAACTGACACTGTCGATTCTCTCCAGGAAGCTGAAAAGAAAGCCAACACATGCTCAGAAGTGTTCTTGGGGGGCTTTCTCCTGGACAATGTGCCAAGGGGGTGGGATAGTCACAGCAGCACAGGAGGGCAGGAGCCAGTGGGGGACCTGGGGTAAGTTCTGCTTTTCTTTTCTTTCCTTTTTTTTCTTTTCTTTTCTTTCCTTCCTTCCTCTTTCTCTTCCTTTCTTTCTTTTTCTCTTTCTTTCTTCTTCCTTCCTTCCTTTTTCTCTCTTCCTTCCTTCCTTCCTTCCTCCCTTCCTTCCTATCTCTCTCTCTCCTTTTCTTTCTTTCTTTCCTCCTCTCTCTCTCTCTCTCTCCCTCCCTCCCTCCCTTCCTTCATTTTTCTTTTTTTAACCTCTGCTTTCCATCTTTCCTCTTACCCACAGTTGGGGGTGAGGGGCTACTCAGACATTGGGAAGGGGCACGGGGCCTCTTTCGAGGCTAAGCTAGTAGCAGAAGACCATGTTGCAGTGCAAATACAACACGGGAGCTCAGAGACGTTCTTTTAGCGTAACAAGTTCCTAATAAAGTCCCAGAGTCATGTGCCTGTGTGCACCCATCACCAGGCTTGATCTGGTGTGGGCACCTGGAGGGACACACGGAAGGAGGGAGACGAGAGTGAAGGGAAAGGAAATCACGTCATATCTGTGCATGGAAGAAGATGTGGACGCAAGGGGCCCCATGGGTTCGTGCTCTCCCTCCTCACCTAGAGGCCACCCTGGCCATCTTAGCGAAAATGGCGCCTTGTCTGTCTCCACCCCAACCTTGCTTTATTTTTTGACGTGGCACCTACCGTGGCCTGACAAGATTCGCATGTGTTTGTTTTACGCTTATTATCTATTTCTTCCTCCAAAATGCAAGAACCACAGGACAAGTCTTCATCCTGTTGGCCCGGGTATCCCCAGCACCTAGCACAGGCCTGGTCCCTGAATCTTTGTTTGTGGAATAAATGTCTGCTCCCCTCGTCCTCCTGCAGCAGGTGGCTGAGAGGCCCAGCCCATAATGGACACTGTGGAGATTTTCAAAACACAGGTGGACATGGGGACTGGTCACCTGGTGAGCAAGAACTACTTCTGGAGACAGAGGGGGCAGCAGGGGCTTCAAAGGGAAGGAGAGCATATAGGGGAGGGAGGTGTTTGAGGGGCTCCTGATCGGGGGTGAGGCTCCAGCCCTGGGGAGAGTAAATGTGTCCCAGACTAAAGGGACAGGGCTGACTTCCTTGCCTGTCCAATTCAGCATGGTTTGGGTTCCTTTATTGAAGTCAAGTGTTGATGGGCCTTCCTCTAATGCTCTAATGCTTGTGGGCATTTGCACAGTGTAGAACAGGTGTCACCTTCCCATCTCCACATGCTCCCTCCACCAGCCTGCATGGCAGGCCCATGAGATGCTTCCAGTATGGGAAAGAGGGAGGCCAAAGACACATTAAGATCACCTAATTCCCTTGGCCATTGTATCTCCTTCCTCCTGGAGAGCTAGAGAGAGCCCCCAGTGTTCCAGGATGGTGGCCTGGTGCTGGGGTGACATTTTGACCGGTGACATTTCACCTATGCATCCTTGTGCACAAGGGCCAGCAGCTCCACAGCCAAGGCCTCCCTTAGAGCTGCAATAGAGGTGCCTCCTGGCGCAGGTAAGCCACAAGCAGAATGTTGGAGGAAGCAAGAGGGGGTCTGCCGACGGTAGGGATTTCCTGTCAGAGACAGGAAGCAGCAGGAGGACAGCATCAGGAATGAGGTCATTTCAGCTATGGTGATGGGGGGTGGGTATGTGATGGCACCGCCCGCCATGGGCGTTGTCAGAGAGTCATCTTCTGGAGAAGGACTGCAGAAGGATGGCCGGGTGGCAAGGCTGCAGAGAGGCCAAAGGGACCGTGATCTGCTTGGGCCTCTCCAGAGTGGCTACCGTGAGCCCTGGTAGGTGCTGCTGTGTGCCTACCAGAATGGCGGTGAACTGGTTGGGGACAAAGCTCGTTCTCAAGGGGGAGGAGTTTGGACAGAGCGCAGACAACCTGGGAGCTGGGGGAAACACGAGAGGCCCCAGGGGGGGTCCGGCTTGCTTGAGGCCTGGTTTGAGAGCCATGGTGTAGTTTGGCTCAGTCGTTGCTGGCCTTCAATTTGGCGGAGTGGAGAGCACCTCCGAAGTACACAGTGAGTTCCTGACCATCTAGCAGGAAAGGGGCAGAAAGACCCTTGTGACGGAGTGAGAGAGTTTTCAGCTCCTGGAAAGGGGCTCTGGTCTATAACCCAGACAACCAGGTGGGTCCGGTGGGGAGATGAGCTGCTTCCCTTACACGACATGGGCTACACGAATTTGATTCAGAGATGGTCTGTCCTCTTGGCAGGAGACCTATAATACTGAACATGCGATACGGAAACCGATCATCTCCGAATAACTGGGCTAGAAAATTAAACTAAATATGGAACCCTCGGCTATAGTTAGAGTTTAGGAAGCAACCAATTTCAAACAGGATGCAAACAGGGTGGAGGTAGGAGGGTGAATTGATTCAGATGGTAATAACTAGTACAAGTAGAAACAGTGAAACGTGGTGAGAAAAACACATCAAAAGTTCTTGATAGATGTGATTAGAGACTGCCTTCCAAAGGAAGCGGTGGGAGTACCTCACAGAACACTATTAAAAATAAGAGGCTCAGAGATGCCAATGACAAAGGCAAAGATGTCAAGTTTGTTCCCATCCCTAATCTCCAGGATGGATATTCAAAGTTCCTTCCGGCTCTGATACTTAATGATCTAAGCGAGACCCAAGAGGCATCGATGAACATTTCCAAGGGTCCCTTCTGCATCGTTACTGATACTGAATGGTATTGTGAGTTCATGCATTTCAAATTTGTACAATGAGAATAAAATGTGAAAACTCCCCCCTGAATGTGAATGTGTCCCCCAGTTCTTTGAAAGACCATCTAGGGCATAAAGGAATGAAAGAGAATCTATAGTAGTAGATTTCTACCAGCTTTTTGCCTTAGTCTCTGTTGGTTCACTCGGTGCATTTTCCAGCATGTTTTAGAAGTACTTCAAATTGGAGCTCCTAAGATAGTATCTACAGAGAGATGAGTTCTAAATTTTGTAGGACTACATTTTAAAGGGTTAGTAAAATCATCTTCTTAAATATGCCACTGCCTCTTTAGTGGAAAAATTAACCAGATTAAAGAATCAAACTTCCAGAGGGTTCACTCACACTAGATATGGATTTGTAAGATAATACCAAGCTTTAACTATAAAAAATCACCATAGTGAGATGGACTCTATAAAAAAGTAGTTAAAAAGCAATTTACTTTGATTTTTTCCCCATTACTTCCTGCTACAGCTGAGGATAGTCATATTTGTAGAAACATTTTCATTCTTGTCCTTTAGATCCCCCTCTGCTTGATACTGGCACAAAACAGCATTTATTGTTTATTTCTCACCTGCCGTCCGCTACCCCACTAAAATGACTCAAAAGTCACAGACTTCTTATAACCAGGAAGTTGATCATGAGGAGGGACCAGGGATCACGAAAACATGAAAACCATTCTGTTAAATACCTTTAAACGATGAGATCTGAGAAAAAGCACCAACTAAACGTAATTAAAAAGTATCCACGATTATTTTGTTTGTGACAATGTAGCAAGTTGGAACTCTGTCTAAGGTTAATAAGAAACTTCTCTCAGTGTGTTGCTGAAATTTACTTCCTAATGCTAATGCACATGATATAAAACTACTATAGAGGAGAAAAACATTATCCCTGCAGTGACGAAGTACCAAGCAATTCTGCTGTGTTTGTGGCAGGTTAAGATCCATGCTACTTTGAAGGGGGTAGGTGCTCAGACCAGGACCAGCAGCATCAGCACCTGTAGACCTTGGGGATGGGGATTTACAGCTGAGCCATATCCCCAGGTGGTTCCGAGCTGCAGTTTCCCTGGCGACTCAGGGAACCCTGTGCATGTTGAAGTTTGCAGAACACCTTTCCTCTGTTTTTCCTGCCACCCTGCTCTAGGCTCTACCTCGCTTCACCTGGACGATACAGCTTTTGATGACTCAAGCTTCTGTTCCTTTCCCTTGGGGTAAAGTTCCTATTTTCAACCTGGCCTCCAAGCCCTTCCCAACTGGCCAACCTCTTCGCTCTTTTTGATGTCTTGACATTGAACAAACCCTCCACTCCTTTCAAATCCCCATATGGCTCTGGGCCTCTCCGATCTTCATGTAATTCCTACTTTTCCTCTGAAGCCCCAGATTCAACCTTACCTCCTGCAAGAAGCCAGTTCTAACCACTAGCAACACCGATTCCCTTCTCTGTGTAGTTCATGTTCATGATTTGATTAGCGTGGGCTCCTGCCTTATACTGTGACTTACTCCCTTTTCAAAGTCAAGGTATAAAACATGGCATGGGTGTCAAGTGCACTAATCTTAAACGTTCATCTTGATGGCTTTGTAACATTTGTATATGCTCATGTCCATTTTTCTCGTTACGTGTATGGTTTATCTGCCTAACTCCTGAGGACTGTTTAAGGCAGAAGTGTGCCTTTTTTTTCCCCCCTCTAGAAAGAAGCCCCAGATAGCCAACATCTGATATACTTTAGTTTAAATCTTTTACTGTGTTCATTCTGAATAAAAACTGCTGAATCGTTTGTTCTGCTACTATTCAAGAGGGAGGGATGGTGTATAAACCTGGAAGACCAGGAGTAAACATTTCAATTTGGGGAAATGCTCTGATGAAAAAGGACACAGTGCTTCCAAGGAGACACAACAGCACGCTGGCTGAGTGCCCATTGCACCCGTTAACCCACTGTGTACGTTGTCATTAGAGAACTCTAGGCATCACCGTGGTAAGAGCCCCAAGGGAGCTATGCATTCACGCCAGGGACACGATCAGGAGCGAGCTGAGCTGGGTACCACACCAGGCCCAGTAATTGTGACAAAGACAGACGTCGTTTTACCATCTAGTCGTAGAAAAACAAACCTAGGTAAACGAGGTGGGTATTTTACTAATGTGTCAAGTT